GTGTGTGTGTGTGTGTGTGTGTGTGTGTGTGTGTGTGTGTGTGTGTGTGTGTGAGAGTTTACGATTCCGATTTCGATTGGTCGGTCAGTTTTTAATTCCCCACCCCCCCACCCGCCAGGTCTGAAGACGATTGTCGGAGCTCTCATCCAATCAGTGAAAAAGCTGGCTGATGTCATGATTCTGACGGTGTTCTGTCTCAGCGTCTTCGCTCTGATTGGTCTGCAGCTCTTCATGGGAAACCTGCGTCAGAAATGTGTTCTGATACCACCGCTGTTGCTCGGCAACAACACATCTAACACGTCCGACCTCGGTACTGGTTACCATGGCAATGACACCCAAAGCAACAATACAGCAAGCAGCGGCTTTGATTACTCCAAGTACATCAGCAACCCAGGTATGATACAAATCCTACTACCATTAATACTCCAAGTACATCAGCAACCCAGGTATGATACAATACTACTACTATTAATACTATAGTACATCAACAACCCAGGTGTGATACATATACTACTACTATTAATACTCAAAGTACATCAGCAACCCAGGTATGATACAATACTACTACTATTAATACTATAGTACATCAACAACCCAGGTGTGATACATATACTACTACTATTAATACTCAAAGTACATCAGCAACCCAGGTATGGCACAAATACTACTACTACTACTACCACTAATACTACAATACCTCATCGACAACCTCTCCATGATACAAATACTACTACTACTCCTACTACCACTAATACTACAATAACTATTGCTACTACTAACAGGACAATAACTTCATGTTACATTGCTGTTGGATTGTTTTGTTAAAAGAGCGTGACGGCAGTAAAAATACGGATTTGGTCTGTTTTACAGGTTTTAAAGCCCTCTGAGGAAAATTTGTGATTTTTTAAATATTACTGCTATACAAATAAAGTTGAATTGAATTATGCTAATTTTCCGTAGGTGAATGTGTGCTTGTGATGGAAGGACAGTATTACCCATAGACACCAATGAAGTGCTTCATCTGTGCTTTTAGAACCAGGGTTACAATATCGTAACCTTCGTAACTAAGTCCAATCTGTCCAATCCTAAAGACATCTACACATGTTGAGACGGACTCTGTCTCTCTCTCTCTCTGCCTGTCTGTCTCTCTGTCCATCTGCCTGTCCCTCTCCCTGTCTGTCTGCCTGTCTGATAGAGAACTACTACTACCAGCCAGGTCAGCTTGATGCTCTGCTGTGTGGAAACAGCTCTGATGCCGGGTGAGTTCACAACAATCAATGATCAGTGATCAATAATAACAATACTGATGGTGAGGATGACGAAGATGATGATGTGTTCAGGGTCTGTCCTGAGGGTTACGTCTGTCTGAAGGCGGGGAGAAACCCAAACTACGGATACACAAGCTATGACTCGTTTGGTTGGGCATTCCTGTCTCTGTTCAGACTGATGACTCAGGACTTCTGGGAGAACCTGTTCCAGCTGGTCAGTAAGGGACTGGTCCCAGGACTAACTGGTCCCATTACTAACTGCTCCCATTACCAACTGGTCCCAGAACTAACTGGTCCCATTACTAACTGATCCCAGTACTAACTGGTCCTAACTGGTCTTTGACTTTCACTCACATTGTGATGATTTCTTAGTTTGACTTTTTAGTTAGAGTGAACGTTGTGGGAATAAATCTGCTCTCTTTGTGTAGACAGTTTAAAGATGGAGAGGACAGACAACCAATCATAGAGGAGGACATGAACAGCAACAGTTTGATTTATTTCACCTGTCTGTATGTCACCTGTCTGTCTCTCACCTGTCTGTATGTCACCCGACTGTCTCTCACCTGCATTTATATCACCTGTCTGTCTCTCATCCACCTGGGTTGCAGACACTGCGAGCCGCCGGTAAAACCTACATGATCTTCTTCGTGGTCATCATCTTCCTCGGCTCCTTCTACCTCATTAACCTCATTCTCGCCGTGGTCGCCATGGCGTACGCTGAGCAGAATGAGGCCACGATGGCCGAGGCCAAACAGAAGGAGGAGGAGTACGCTCAGATCCTGGAGATGCTGAAGATGAGAGAGGAGGAGGTCTGACATGATGAAACTACATTCAATCAGCTGACAGTGAAAACACACTCAACATTTATTCTGCTTGTTGTTACAGCAGGCGGCCTGCAGGGAACAAGGTACGGCACCACAGAAGAAGAATTCATCTGCAGAAATAAATGGCCACGAGCAAGAACACACTGCCATTGAAGGTACACACAGACATGTACACACATACTGTACATGTACACACAGACATGGAAGGTATACATTTTAATTCGAAAACACACAACAGATCCACCACAGTGTTCCTGAACACATGAGAGCAACATGTGAATCTCCAACGATCGATCCGCCAAATGTATTGATCGTTTATTGGAACGAGACGAGGAGATAAAACTGATGAAGAAAGGAGGCAAACTGATGATGTATAGTTCTGTTCACAGACTGATGACGTAACGTTCTGTTCACAGACCGATGACGTAACGTTCTGTTCACAGACTGATGACGTAATATTCCTGTTGAGGATCTCTGCTTCGTTTCTACACTAATGATCGACAGACTTAGTTTCATCTCAAAAACAACTTTCTATTTGCATCGTCTCTAACTCGCTGTGTGTTTCAGACTTTGCAGACGACCAGAGACCGTGTCCTCCGTGTTGGTATGTCTTTGCCGATATCTTCCTGAAGTGGAACTGTTGTGGCTGCTGGCAGTGGATTAAACGGTACCTCTACCTCATCGTCATGGACCCGTTCGTTGACCTGGGAATCACCATCTGTATCGTCCTCAACACCGTCTTCATGGCCATGGAGCATTACCCGATGACTGAGGAGTTTGAGGAGCTTCTGAGCATCGGAAATCTGGTCAGTGATGAAGAGAAGTCAGAGAGTTGGTTTCTTTTCAAGTGAGATCACAGCTTCAACACAGGCTCAACACAGGCTGAGCATCTGTGAGGTAAAAGTACTGTTGATCTGTAAAACAAGTACTCAAGTCAAAGTCAAACTACGGGTAACACTTTTTATGACCCCACGTCTATATAATGTATTATAAACTCAACATGTCAACATGTTACAGTGTCCTCAATCATCTCAGTATAGATATACGTTTCTATTATCTAATGTCTAAGATTAGATGACTCATGTTTGTACCATCAGGCTCTTTAGGAGATGATGAAGTGATGTGTGAATATCCTTTGAGCAACACCAGCATATGACACAAAAAGCATTTTTATTCATTTTATTTTTGTGTTTCTTATCAAAGTTTTCTGGAACAACCACTAGTCAAATACAGAAGTTTTTATAAATGGGTACTGTCACTAAGACAGAACGTTATACACTGTGTGCACAATTATAAGGCAAGTTGTATTTTTGAGGATTCATTTTATTATTGAACAACTACAGTGCTCTCGTTCAATCCTAAATGTTAATAAACCTCAAACCTGAATATTTAAGAAAGTAAAAGTTAGGTTTTGGCTTTCTTATGGTGCGTTCACACCAAACGCGGCGCGAATTATTCGCGCGAGTAGATTACATACAAAGTCTATGCACAGACGCGATGAGACTGGAGTGATGCGAATTTGCGATGGCGTGGCGCGATTGATGCGAATTCGCGGTGCGATTGACGCAAATTTGCATCAAACGCTAAATCGCCCCAAACGCATGAGTTGAAATTTTTCAACTTCGCCGAAATATTCGCGTTACGCCCCGGCGCGATAGCCTGTCAGCGTTGAGATGTTTCTCCTGTCATCACTGACTTCCTGCCCTTGTTGAATCAGGAAATAAATACTGTAGCCGTCTGTGTTCACCCAGAGCTCTACGATACCTCATATCAGTAGAGACCGGACCAAACTATGTGTATAAATGTGTGTGTGTAAACCATATGGTACAAACAATGAATGGACGCTGCCGTATTTACGTCTACATGACGTTATTCTGAGTGTTGGTGGAGCTGCTACAATGTTGCCGTTATAAGGTCATGTTTTATTCTGATTTGGCTATGCCACTCAGGGTAGTCTTTTTATAAAAAAATCAAAAACAAACAAACAAAAAGCGTCCAAGCAGAGATAATAGTTCGTTAAGCAGAACTATGTTAGACAAAACTCAACTTGGAGTGTCCTTGGCTTTTCTCCGACAACCCGGTCTTCTTCAGTTCAAATCCTCCTCCCTCTGGTTCGAAACTTTACTCCATGTAGGTCTCGGAGCTCCTTCACGCCGTGCGCTCTCTCTCTTCTCCTCTCCTCCTGCAGCTCTCTTAAGTCCGGCCTCAATCAGGTAGCCTAAACAGTGGTGAGGCCTTCTGGGAGCTTTAGTTGTTGCCTCGGCGGCTATCTTGTAGTGTGGCTGCTGATCCTTAAAGGGGAAGTAGCACCCATCTACCACCTGGCCCCGTGTGATGCCACAGTGTGCACAATTATTGGGCAACTAAATGAAAAACGTCTCCCGTCTCACTTGTTTATTTTCATCTGTTAAAGTGAGAATAATAAACAAACAGTCCAACAAGCTCATCTTTAATAATACCAGCTGTGATGTTCACAGTAGAACCACGCCACCTGGTGGGCGGAACAGGATATATACGGTCAGTCAGCAAGACCGCATGAACAGCGTATATATGAAGCTCGAAATAAAAGCCTGTTGCAGTGCATCAAGTCGTTGTTCGTCTGGGTCATAATTACAATACAGAAACATTACACCAGCTAGTTGGACCTAAAGCCTATTGAGAACTTGTGGGCCCTTCTTAAACGGGAGATTTACGGTGAAGGAAAACAGTACACCTCTCTGAACAGTGTCTGGGAGGCTGTGGTTGATCGTCAACAGATCAAGAAAGTGACAGAATCCATGAATAAAGGCGTATTACTGTTATTGAAAAGAAGGGGGGCTATATTTGGTCACTGATTTTTTTTTTTTAAATGTCAGAAATTTTTATTTATAAATTTTGAGTTGTTTGTTTATTATTCTCACTTTAATAGATGAAAATAAACAAGTGATGTGGGAAAATTTTCGCTTTTCATTTAGTTGCCCAATAAATGTGCACACGCCAAAACCTCACTATTACTTTCTTAAATATTCAGGTTTGAGGTTTATTAACATTTTGGATTGAACGAGAGCACTGTAGTTGTTCAATAATAAAATGAATCCTCAAAAATACAACTTGCCTAATAATTGTGCACTCAGTGTAGACATCAGGAGGTATTTTCTAGATCGCTGTCAGTTCTCTGATCTCTGATGTACTGAAGATTTATGAAGCTGACCTCGGATCAGCAGACCACCAGCCTCTTAATGTGCAGAAAGACATACAATAATGAATAAATAAAAGAATTGAAAGTAAAAGGTACAACTTTACTTGCTAATGAAGGAGGGTTAAAAGAGGAGATGTCACACTTCATATACACACGTGGACAAAATTGTTGGTACCCTTCCGTTAAAGAAAGAAAAACCCACAATGGTCACTGAAATAACTTGAAACTGACAAAAGTAATAATAAATAAAAATGTACTGAAAATTAACTAATACAAATAAGACAGTGCTTTTGAATTGTGGTTCAACAGAATAATTAAAAAAAAAAAAACTAATGAAAATGGCCTGGACAAAAATGATGGTACCCTTAACTTAATATTTTGTTGCACAAAAAGCTCCAGTTTTGAAACTGGAATTTGTCAAAATGCATATTGACAAGCCACAAACCTTCTGGGAGTATGTCCTTTGGACAGATGAGACAAAACTGGAGCTTTTTGGCTCATCAGCTCTATGTTCACAGACGCAAAAATGAAGCATACAAAGAAAGAACACTGTACCTACTGTGAAACATGGAGGAGGCTCGGTTATGTTCTGGGGCTGCTTTGCTGCATCTGGCAAAGGGTGTCTTGAATCTGTGCAGGGTACAATGAAATCTCAAGACCATCAAGGCATTCTGGAGCAAAATGTGCTGCCCAGTGTCAGAGAGCTTGGTCTCAGTCGCTGGTCACGGGTCCTCCAACAGGATAACGACCCAAAACACAACTAAAAACACCCAAGAATGGCTAAGAGCACAACATTGGCCCATTGTGAAGTGGCCTTCTATGAGCCCTGATCTAAATCCTATTGAACATCTGTGCAAGGAGCTGAAACATGCAGTCTGGAGAAGGCACCCTTCAAACCTGAGACCGCTGGAGCAGTTTTCTCACGAGGAGTGGGCCACAATACCTGTTGACAGGTGCAGAAGTCTCACTGAGAGTTACAGAAATCACTTGATTGCAGTGATTGCCTCAAAAGGTTGTGCAACAAAATGTTAAGTTAGGAGTACAATCATTTTTGTCCAGGCCATTTTCATTTGTTTTTCTTTTAAAATGATTGTTGAACCACAATTCAAAAGCAATGTCTGATTTTCATTAGTTCATTTTTAGTACAATTTTATTTATTATTACTTTTGTCAGTTTCAAGTTATTTCAGTGACCATTGTGGGTTTTTCTTTCTTTAACGGAAGGGTACCAACAATTTTGTCCACGTGTGTACCGTCATATAGCTGGAAGCCTCACTAGCTGAACGTGAGGATTGATGATTGATTTGTTTCGCTGAAGCAACCAAAAGAAGTCAGAGCTGCCTACTTACTGGCTGACAATTTAAATTCTGCAATTATTGAAAAGATCTTAAACAAAAAATGCTTTTATATTTGAAAATGTTCTTTTGTATATTCTCACTCAAAAGTTCTGTCAGCTAAGAATCCAAAGCGGACAGCTTCTGTTTATTTGTGCCATCGGCTGTAAACCTCCAACATCTCTCAAACCCCATTAATTTAATAGCTTCTTCTGCTGACCTCTGACCCCCCTTAGGTCTTCACAGGGATCTTCACAGCTGAGATGGTCCTCAAACTTCTGGCCATGGACCCATACTACTACTTCCAGGTCAGACTTCTTGTTTGTTGACTGGTGGTTTTCTAACCAGCACCATGACTTGAAGTCTTAAGAATCCTCATTCACATCTTTCCTTTACCTCATGACTGCTATTCTCATGGATACATGACACATGATACATGGACACGTGTCTGTCATTGTTCTGTTGCCATGGCTGCAGGTGGGCTGGAACATCTTTGACAGCATCATCGTCACCATGAGTCTGGTGGAGCTGGGATTGGCTAACGTTCAGGGCCTGTCTGTGCTGCGCTCCTTCCGATTGGTCGGTGTGAACTCATCACTCAAATTACTTTTTACCTGTCTGTCTATATGTCTGTCTTCTCACCTGTCTCCCTGCCTGTCTCATGTCCAGATGCGAGTGTTTAAGCTGGCCAAGTCGTGGCCGACCCTCAACATGTTGATAAAGATCATTGGGAACTCGGTGGGTGCTCTGGGGAACCTGACTCTGGTCCTGGCCATCATCGTCTTCATCTTCGCGGTCGTCGGCATGCAGCTATTCGGGAAGAACTACAAAGACTGCGTCTGTCGCATCGCACTCGACTGCGAACTTCCCCGCTGGCACATGTACGACTTCTTCCATGCCTTCCTCATCATCTTCAGGGTCCTATGTGGAGAGTGGATTGAGACCATGTGGGACTGCATGGAGGTCTCAGGTCAGACCATGTGTCTGATTGTCTTTATGATGGTCCTCGTCATCGGAAACCTGGTGGTGAGTCCCTGTAGGCACAAAGATACTCTTTGACCTTTACTGGACTCTACGGGTAACACTCTCCTCCAATCACTAGCATACCTTCACACACTGAAATTATGAATAAATGTAGCCGGACAATCAGGACGTGTCGACCCGAATACCTGCAGACCCCTCAGTACTGGCCCCCAAAACAGTTAGTGTGTGTCGGTTGTGTTGCACCTGAGCCGCCCTCTGGGCTTGATACATGTCCCAGTGCTCCTTGATGGCCCAGGTACTGTGAAGTGCAAGGTGGCTGTGGCTTGGCTTTCAGACACATTCAGATTTGGGCCATGGCTATACCCAGTTCAGTTTCGTACTACCTGGATTGGCAGGGGCGCCTTACTCAGCTATAGCAGCCTAGGTAGCTTAGAAGTAGGTGGGCTTTGGCGGCTAACCTTTAATTCAGGATCAGTGTGGTTGGGATCGATGTTACGTGGTGGCAGGGCATATTTCATCTGCTCTACCCATCGAGGCCAGTAGAGGGTGGAGACTGTGTGACTTAGAATGAAGGTTACGATATTGTAACCCTAGTTCTAAAAGCACAGGCATAGCCGTATATACTGTGGGGTGCACATATATTCAGGTAGGCACTTCCTGACTGCTGGCTACGCTTATTCAAATTTTCAATGAGCTTGTGCTCGTGATTGGAGGAGAGTATAACCCATAGAGTCCAGTCGAGGATTCCTCTGTTACTGGTCTTGTTTCAGGTCCCGAATCTGTTCATTACATTTACATTACATTACAGTCATTTAGCAGACGCTTTTATCCAAAGCGACTTACAATTCAGATTCTATCATACCATAGGTACAGCTACGGGAGCAATTTTCCTGGTCTTGAATCTGTTTCATATGTTCCTGGTCTTGTTTCAGGTCCTGAATCTGTTCCTGGCCTTGTTGCTGAGCTCATTCAGCGGTGATAATCTTGCAGCTCCAGAAGAAGAAGGAGAAAACAATTTGCAAATCGCCATAAACCGGATCAGTAGGGCTGTGGGTTGGACAAAGAAATGGATCCTGGAACAAATCTGGACCATCACTGGAAAGAAGGACAATATCAACCCAGACCACACCGGTAGGACCACACCTGAAACTACAGCAAAGACTTATGTATCTATTTATGTGTTCTTTTCTTGGTATTATTTGTTACGTTTCAGTATTTATTCAGTGTTCCAGGTCGTTATGTTCAAATTAAATGTTCACTATGAAGTTCATTGAATCACAGATTTCATTACTGGATGTATTTTGTGTGACTTACTGATTGTTCATGTTTGTGAATTTCATCAATAGCGGTCGACAGTGAAGAAGACAACAGGACGACGAAGGAGATTTTAGCTTTGACCTTTGTGACCTCAAGCCAGCCGGTGTCAGAGGTCAAGTCCCTCTACTGTAACCATGGCAACCTGACAAGCAACTACGACAACGTTCCCTGCCTGAGGGTCCCGATCGCCGAGGCCGAGTCCGACTTTGAGACGCCTGACAAAGATGATGAAGAGGATGAAGAAGAAGATGAGGAGGAAGAAACCCAGTCCCATGTGAACATTATTCTATTTTATTTCATTTCATTTCATTTTTTTCTACTCTATTCTTTTCTACTCTATTCTTTTCTACTTTATTCTATTCTATTGAACTCTAGTGTGTCAAGTTCAGATGAAACTCAGATATTGATGTAACCTTCAGTTAGTGGTAGACCCGACAGGTGAATAGTCCAAATATCAGCTTGCATTATATTCATTATTATTCTTTTTTAACCTTTATTTAACCAGGTGAGTCAATTGAGAACCAATTGTCATTTACAGTGACGACCTGGCCAAGAAGCAGCAATAGAAGAGAACATAAATACAACTATAGCAATAAAACATGAGACAACATTAAAACTTCACAATGCATACAACATTAGAGATGTGGACTGTATATATAGAAACTATTTCTTACACTGAGTTATTAAAGGAAAGAGACGATCACAGACTTTAGTAAAGACCATACTAAGGATTTTACTAGAACATAAATTGTGGTTACTGTTGGAGATGTTGAGCAGTGAGCGGAGATATGGAGGGTTTTGATAATGATAGTCTTCTAAATAACTGATAGCCAGTTGTCTAGAGAATGAAATTTAAAGCAAATGGCTGGATGTAAGATGATGTCCGGTTTATTGAGAAGACTTTTGCTGGTAAATCTGTAGATTAAGTCGTCACAATTTCAGTACAGGAAACCAATTCTTTCTCTGACTTTGGACACTGGCGTTTGAAAGGAGAGTGAAATGTAAAGTTTGATACCCAGGTATCTATTGGAGAGGACAAATTATAATTCTGGCCCATCGAGGGAGGAGATTTAGAGGGGAGAAGGCCACTTAAGGTGAGTTATAGGTGGAGACCATGCATTGGGGTGGCCGTGGCTCAATGGGTAGAGAGGGTCGACCGGCAACCGCATGGTTGATGGTTCGATCCTCGGCTACTATGAGTCCTGTGCCGAAGTGTCCCTGAGCAAGATACTGAGCCCCTAACCGCTCCCCGGGCACTTCTCAGCAGCCCACTGCTCACAATATGCTAGGGATAGGTTCAATGCAGAGGTCAAATTTCATGTTTAATGATGACTCTAATAAAGTTTAAGTTTATTTAGTTTTATTAGTATTTAGAAGAAGGTGAAGGTTGGAGGAGGCATATTGAAACACAACACTCTTATAATGTGAGTATTGTGAAGACAAACCCATGACCATTCTAAAGGAGAGATGAGTGCATGGTGAGAATACTGTGAGCTGTTTATCAAAGAGAGATGGATGTAGTGTTGAGACGTTTAGAGCCAGTTGCTGTTCAAAAAGTCAAAGAGCCGAATTCAGGTATTAATAAGAGTGAAAAAAAAGGTTAAATTCTCAAGTCTATGGGTGATTCTGGAGAATAAAATACATTTAGTCTGAGGCAGCATTCAGTACAAGTTTGACCAGATCAGGAAACTTAATTAGATGAAACTAGTACTGGACTGTTTGTGAGATCTGAACATGAATATCAACGATGTCTGATGTGTTTGTTCAGTGTGACAAGTCGTCGGTCTGCAGCACCGTACAGAAAAATCCTGAAGCTCCTGAGGACGAAGAAGAAGAGCACGAAGCCAACACACCTGAGGACTGCTTCAGTGACCGTACGAAAACACACACACACATACATTACATTACATCAGTCATTTAGCAGACGCTTCTTGTGAACTGGGACTCTAACCCGGCCTATCTGAGGTCTAGTCACCAGAAGTCATAAGTGCATGTCCTTGTTTACACAAGCATCTAAGAGCTTAAACCAGAGCAGAAGTACAGTGCAGAAACAAACTAATACGAATACACCTTTGTGTAACTTGTAAAAAAGTATTGAAGAAAAGGAACCAATCAATGATCAATAAAAAGCTCTGTTGAGTCTCAGTTTTCCTTCGTAAGGAAGCTGCTGAGGAGCCATTCAGATATATATATATATATATATATATATAT